GGATTTCTACCCAATCATTCTGAGCACAAGACTTTCTTCAGCAAATGTTTCAGTTCAGACTAGACATCCTTAATTGGCACCTGCACTGTCTTTCAGATAGTTGAAGATAATGATACTGAAGCCTGTAGTATCATCATTCACCTTTGCTTCTTGGGATGTTCACCCAGCGAATTCTGCCTCTGCAAGCTGCACAGAAGGCACTGATGTTTACTGTTCTTGCTACGTTTGCTGATGAAGTCGTATGCTAAATCCTTGTTATCGACAGGGAATAGGCGCACTTACTTTCCGCAAATAACAGAAAACGCAGACACCGCCATAATGGAAATCCCTTATCTATTGCAAAGGATCACGCAACACATCAGTAGAGAAAAAAATCAGGTCAGGGCCAACTTCATGAGTATGCAGGTCCACAGGTAGCAAATCAGCAGATGACTGGAGTCTAATCTTTGTCTGTTGTGTCCTCTTCAGAAGAGCGTTAAGGTCAGATTGACTCCATAAGAAATCTGTTATCAGATGGTCTGTGGGGAGTGTGAGAAAGATGATGCAATTTATTGAAGATGCTCCTGAGCCCTCATCCATAGGGTCATTAACTAAATGAAGAGGGAAGTTAAACAAAATGTTTTACAAAGAAGGTAGCAACACGAATAATATATCATTCTACATGTAGAGTTACTACTGTTATAAATTGCTGAATAGCCTCTCTTGGCAGTAAAGTGTTCTTCTTTTGAATATAAATATGTCAGCTCCTCTCTGCTGAAAATGCAAAAATCTTTGTCTGATTTGAGTATCATTCTGGTTTGTTTTTTGGTATATGGAGAATTCGGTAAATAGAAACATGGTGCGGAGGGCATGGTAATAGCTTGAGTGTATAAATTGTTAGGGGTTAGGAAACTGAATATAGTGGTGAATGGATGCTTTTTCAACTGGAGACAAGTAGGCAGTGGGATCTCCGAGGGATTCATATTAGGACTATTTCTATTACTGTTATTTAGAAATTTCTGGCTTTGTGTGTGGGAGGTACAAATGCAAACTTGGCAGATGATAGCAAACTTGATAGTATTGTAATTAGAGAGCAGAATAGCAGTAGTGTTCAGACTGCTAAATTGGGCAGATGCAGCGTAAATACTAAACTTGAGGTAAAAAAGCATGTAGTGGCAATTTTTTTAAAAACCTCTTTATTTTATGGGAGATGCATGGGCAGAGAGAGACCTAGGGTGCAAGTTCACAATTGCTTTAAAGATGGACACACAAGTTAGTAATATCTTTTGTGAATTCATATAAATACTTCATAAATAGGGGCATCATAAAAGAAACAAGATAGTCACACTGAATCTTTACAAATCACTGTTTCAGCTGGATTATTGCAGAAAATGTTGGGACACCAGAAGGATGAAAAGACCTTGGAAAGAGTACAGAGCGGGTTTAGCAAGGATGAGGGGTGTGAGCAATGTGGAGAGAATTGAGAAGTTTAATTATTCTCCTTGGAGAAGAGCAAATTAAAGGAAGACCTCATCAAATCCCTGTAATTTTGAATTTCTGAGGGGAAAATGGTGTGAAACTGCTTCCTCTGGCAAATGGGTTGATAACCAGCGGTCATAGATTTAAAGATGATTGTCCAAAAATCTAGAGATGAAACAAGAATTATTTTCACACAGAGTTGTTAAGATTTGAGTTGTATTAGTTAAAGGATAAAGGAATCAAATTTCAAGGATCTTAGAAAAGGCAGTGAGGCATGTATTTGATGAGAACTAATTTCCATGATTATCAGGGAAAAGTTGGGATGTGTGGCTAAGTCAAATAGCTCTTTCAGCAAACCGGCATGAACATGATGGGCTGAATGGTCCCCTTCATTGAAGGATTCCATGATTCTAATTTGTGTACATATTTTTGCAAGTCTTTTTTGGCAAATTTCGAATATGTATTGTGTAAGTGAGCATCCACCACATTGACACAGATTAAATCGCCTCAAATTTAGCAAATATATTTTTTAATACCTTTTTAATGTGTTGTTACATGAACAGTGTTACCAATGACTGCATCTATCAACATGCAGACTCAATTTTAATAGCTTTTATGTTACCCTTGCAAGTGAAAGCTGCCATTGTGAGCAGAGAGAGTGCAGTGAAAATCTAGCTTGAGATTAACATTCCAGGGAAAATGGTCAACAAATGCCTGTCTTGCCAATGACACCCATAACTCAAAATTGAATTAAAACAAGAACAGAACACTAATTGTAGTTACTTGGTATTAAACCATAATTATGATTGCTTACCTTTTGATTATATCCCTATGGTCAGTTAAGTAAGCCTGATGATACAACTGTATTGTTGAGACTGGTTGTGAGACTGGCTACAGGTGAAAGTCTGTTAAATCTTTAGTTCTTTGAAGATTTCAGACCAATTCCCTTTTAAGAACAGTGTCTATCAAGCCAGCTCCAATTTTATCAATTCTAATTTGAGTCAACATCAATTATGAATGATGTGAAAGTCCAGCACTGCTGTTTAAAATAAGGCAGAGTTGATAAACCTGAGAATTGCTGATAAAGTGGAAGTCTTGAGAACAAAAGATTGTAAAAATAAAATCAATTTGAGAAGTGGGATGTTTACAAAATCACATCATGCTTTTAATAAAGTTTGTTTTTTGTGGGGTCATGATTGCACTTCAGCATTGGCTGTTTTGGGTAATGTTTTAAATAGTTTATAGGTAATGGAAGCACACCCATGTTATAAGGAAGGTGCAGGTTTGCATCACTGATATCTGTTTGTCCTTTGAGACAAACCAGGAAACAGTTGGGCTGTTAATCATTTAAGCAGCTAATCATTTTCTTTCTCATAAGCATATACTATACTTTTTCTAAAATTTAAGTCTGCGTTAAAAGTAGCTCTCAAAAATTGTTTTATAGTTCAACTTGTTGAAGTAAAATTCCAATGCTTGATATGGGAAGAAATCAGAGTAACTCATCAACGCAAAGCCTGTCCATCATCTACAAGGCACGGGAGTGAATGGGTGAATGAATGGGTGCAGCTCCAACAACACTCGAAGCTTGACACCATCCAGGACAAAGCAGCCTATGTAATTGACCCTACCTCCACTCACTCCACCACTGATAGTCAGTAGCAGCAGTGTGTACTATTTCCAAGATGCACTGCAGAAATTCACCAAAGATCCTCAGACAGCACCTTTCAAATGCACGACCACTTCCATCTAGAAAGACAAGGGCAACAGATACATGGGAACCCCACGACCAGCAAGTTCCCCTCTAAGCCACTCACCATCCTAACTTCAAATTGATTTCAATGAATAGATTCCAAAATATGGAGTTAAAAACAAACAAATCCAATACAAATTGGTATGCTTGGGAAATATAAACAGTAAAGTATATCACAGACTAGAAAAAATGTTTAATTTTAGGCTTTTTTTTTGTTGTCTGCGATGTGCCCACAAATGACACTTCTGCAAGGTGCTTGCATCAAAGAATAGGAGCAATAAAAGTGATGTTTTTAAAATATTTTAAATGAATTGAAATCCTAGGATCATGATTTGCTGAGTTGTCCACTCTAAACACTTGCCTATTCCATCCCTGACCCCTAGCTGTGTCCTTCCCACCAGTCATTGCTGTGCCGTCTTGCTTTTCACTGTTGCCAAGACCACGGCAGAGAGTAGGAAAGAGGCAGCGAGGGGTCAGGAGCAAAGCAAGCAGGGAGGGAGTGACTGGGGGAGTGGGGATATCAAGTGAAGTTGGGGTTGTGAGGGTCAATAGGAGTGTGAAATCTGAGCACCAAGGATTCAAAGTAGAGCTGCAAGTGGAGTGAGGGTGATGATCTCTCCTTTGGCTGTCAGTGGTACCTGAGTGCACAAATAGGGAGGGTTGGGTCCAGCTTCTAGGTCTAGACATACATTGATAACATCAGCAGCCAAACTCGCTCAGCCAGTGTGTGGCCAGGAGGTGCTCCATTCCTTTTTAGTACAGAAGCATTTGGTAATTGCATATGTTGAAAATTGCCCTTGCATTCACTGGAAAAACATAAAATATGTGTGAGATGATTGGGGGAATATCTCAGTTCAAAATTTAATGACTGCAAATCATTATTGCCTTTATTCTAATCTGAATTCCTAAACTCTGAACGTTTAGCGTTAAGTCAACTGTAAATTGTCACTGATAGATTTCCTGTCTTGCCTCTCATGCACGTGTTAATTTGTAAAATGCGACTTCTGATATTAGCAGCCACCCTTTAAGCTGCTAATCATTTTCTTTCTCATAAGTATATACCATACTTTTTTTTTTAAAATTTAAAATTTAAGTCTGTGTTAAAAGTAGCTCTCAAAAGTTGTCTTATAGTTCAATTTGTTGATGTAAAATTCCGATGCTTGATATAGAAGAAATCAGAGTAACTCATCAATGCAAAGCCTGCCCATTATCTACAAGGCACAGGAGTGTGATGGAATACTTGCACCTTGCCTGGATGGGTGCAGCTCCAACAACACTTGAAGCTTGACACCATCCAGGACAAAGCAGCCTATGTAATTGACACTACCTCCACTCCCTCCACCACTGATAGTCAGTAGCAGCAGTGTGTACTATTTCCAAGATGCACTGTAGAAATTCACCAAAGAGCCTCAGACAGCACCTTTCAAATGCACGACCACTTCCATCTAGAAAGACAAGGGCAACAGATACTTGGGAAACCCAGACCAGCAAGTTCCCCTCTAAGCCACTCACCGTCCTGACTTGGAAATATATTGCTATTCCTTCACTCTTGCTGGGTCAAAATCCTGGAATTCCCTCGCTAAGGGCATTGTGGGTCAACCTACAGCACGTGGACTGAAGTAGTTTGAGAAGGCAGCCCTTAAGGGCAACTAAGGATGGGCAATAAACGCTGGCCAGCCAGCGATGCCCACATCCCATGAGTGAATTTAAACAAAAAATTGTGATGGCTTGGTTCAAAATTGCTGTTGCTTTTCGAAATAGAGAAAATTGATATTTGTGTATTTTTTCCCAGTTCTTAGCAACCATTAATACAAGGGAAAATGAGATTCAGAGATTCATTACTGAAGGCTGCAAAGAGGCGTTACTTGAAGAAAAGAGACGGTTCTGCTTCCTTGTGGACAAACATTGCAGTTTTTCCCAAGATCTAAGCAATTACCATGAAAAGGTCTGTGTAATTGAACAGTTGAATTAGTCATTTTTTTAAAAGTCATGTATTAGCATTGTGATCAAACTTTGAAGCAATAAAACTATATAGAACTTTAGGAGATGGTGACATAGATGCCATTAGACTAGTAATCCAGAGGCTCAGGCTAGTGTTCTGGTCTCACGGGTTCAAATCCCACCAAGGTAGTGGATGGAATTTAAATGCAATTAATAAATGTAGAATATAAAGTTAGTCTCAATACTGATGACTATGGCAAAAGCCCAAAACTAGAGGGGGTAGATTTATGGTAAAAGGGGAAAAGATGTAAAAGAGACCAAAGGGGCAATTTTTTTGCACAGAGGATGGTGTATGTATGGAATGAGCTGCCAGAGGAAGTGGTGAAGGCTGGGATGATCACAACATTTAAAAGGCATCTAGATGGGTATATGAATAGGAAGGGTTCAGAGGGATATGGGCCAAATGCTGGCAACTGGGGCTAGATTAATTTAGGAGATCTGATTGACATGGATGAGTTGGACTGAAGTGTCTGTTTCCATGCTGCATATCTCCGACTCTGACTCTTGAACCATAATTGGGTGCCATTAAAAATCCACCTGTTTCACTAATGGCCTTTGGGGAAGAATATCTGCAATCCTTACAATGTAACTCCACACTCACTTATGTGGTTGATTCTTAACTATCCCCTGAAATGGCAAGCTGCTCGGTTTAAGGGCTACCAGGCAGATGATCTTGCCAGAAACATCCACATCCCATAACATAACTTCTTGTTATAAAAATTGAAAAAAGCTGCACTTGATGTTTTAAGATGAGCCTGATGATCAGTTGCTCCAGGGCAAATGAAGAGTTACATAAAATGTCTCTTCTGATGTAACTGTAAAATCATTTATCTACAATTCAAATTCTATACCTCTTCTCCAAAAAGTAACTCTAATGTATGGAAACAGGTATGTGCACAGCATAGATCATGAGCTACAGGATCTATTTATTGTCCTTCTAGATTTAAAAGCACTTTTGTAAAATTATAATTTTAATTCAATAAGCATCCTTTTTTTTCTTTTTAGGCCAATGGAATCCTTGGTGCCAAAATAAACAAATGGAAGGAGAAATGTTTTGATGCTACAAAGATACCTGAATTTTTAGGTGAAGATGAAAGCCCCCCAACATATATATCCAAAACTCCTCAACCTTCTCCATTGATTGGAAGATACACTGTGAGTAACATTTTTTGGTGGAGTGGGGGAAAAGGGGAGAGCATTTTTTTTAAGATACTGCTACATGATTGTTGCAACTTTTCTCTTAGTAACCATGGATAAACAATTCTATTCAACAGCAAGATCCTTTTGTATTACAATTACAATGCAGAAGGCAAAAATGAAGATAGAAGGAAGAATTGAAAGTAGAATAAGCTCATGCAATGTTTAGGGATGGAATTCCAACATACAGGAGAAAGAGACACCCTCAAATATGGTACAAAGAGGGTCAGTTAACCAGAGTTGGGCTGGAGGAAATGAGTATGTTTCAGAGCATCTGGGTACGGTTTTTATCTGTTCAAGGGATATAGGCAATGTTGGCTAGGCCAACATTTGTTTCTGGTGAAATTGTGACTTAAAACTGTACAAAACGGCTTAAATTTTAAGGTGGAGTTAGCATTTTCACATCTAATTCTGACTGGACCAGTATTAATTTCTCACCTCATTATGGCCTATCTCAAACTGCATCGTTTTAACCAATTGTGAGCAAATAAGTGGTGATTGTCTGACCTGCAGTTGGCTTGAAGTGCCAAATTAGCAAGTCTGAACTATTTGAACTGGGAGAGAGGAGTAGAATGAATTCAAACAATGTCTGAGACTGAAATGACACTTCACTGACTAATCAGTGTGCAAGAAAAACAGGTATGTGAGAAGTCAATGTGATTTAAATCTTTATTCTACTCTGGAATTTCTGGTGTGTAATTGCATACAAACAGCATTTGGGTTAAAGGGCATCAGATGGGAGACAACAGTCTTTGTTAATAAAATGCTTGTAATAAAGACGTCTAAAGAAGTATTATTGGTATGAAGGGTTCAGTAACAGATCAGTATAGTTGCATTGACAGTACCCAAACATTTTATTTTGAGAATTAAAGCAAAAAGTACAATCATCTTGCATATGTCCATCTTCAGTGACAAGTTAACGTGAATTTGATTCTTATAGATATAGTAGGAACTGCCAATGCTGGAGATTCTGAGATAACAAGGTGTAGAGCTGGATGAACACAGCAGGCCGAGCAGGAAAGCTGATGTTTCGGGTCGAGACCCTTCAGCTCTACACCCTGATTCTTATAGATACTGTTTTTCTTGTGCATTCATTTGCTGCATTTCTGTCATCTTATGCAGATGTGAGGATACTGAGATGTTCAACTTCTATGATTTTACTTGGGATCTTAAAACTATCATTTTTCAACTTTTAGTCTCCAATTCTTGTAAAGTTGTTGGCATTTGCTGGAATACAGACCATGAATACCAAAAGTCCTATATTACCTAGATTCAGTGACTGCTGTTATTACAGAAGAAGGGAAGTTAGTTTTGGAAAATGTTGCACAACTACTTCAGCATGGAGAGCTTCATAACAAGTCATTTCTTTCTTTGCCCAACACCCAAAACTGTTTCTGACTTCCCTTGTCAATTGATGGTGTAGCATCTGACCTGCTGCCCAATCTGAAATAAATCAGCAGAAATGAGGAGTTAAATCTGAGAGCTTATTTGTTCCTTTCTCAAATAGTTATATTAAAAGGGAGTAAAAGTTAGCATTCATTTTTAGGTAGCATTAAATTTTGTGGCAGTGTTAAAGCGTTGTGAAGGCAAACTCAATTGCTTGATTTATAAATTCAAAATTGTCCATCCAAAATATAATTTTAGTTGAGGCAGATATATGTAGAACATTAAGAAACTGTAAAAATGAGACATCCAGGACTTCAAATGTATCCTTTCACTAATGTGACTTTCTTGCTGGAAATTACTTTCATTTCAGGATTTTTGTTTAAAAACCATTTGTTCAAGAATATAATCTCATTCTTGAAGATGCTCCTTAAAAATCTTTTAACATTCACGCAAGCGTAATTTTGTACTGGTGCTTTGTGATTGGAATAAGTTAGAAATTGAAACACTAGTTGAATTCTCACGGGAAAGTATTAGTTCAAAACAAATATTTGATCAAACATTTCCAGAGAATGTTAGAAGTAACACATCAATGCAATGGCTGTACATGATGTAGAGCTTATGAAAATGGTGTGACGGTATTGCAAGTCATATGATTGATCTTTAAATGAATAGGCACATGGTTTATTTAGGAAACACCCCATGTTTTTGTTTGCATGGAACATGAAAGGATCTAAAAGCAAAAAAGAAATTTACACAGTTTGAAAGTAGCAGGGACATTGAAGAAACTGAAATTCTATACTTTGTGCTTTATGCTTTATGCTTTGCAGGTATCAATATATTGTATGTATTACTGATATTTGGCTTAACTACTACTTTTGTTTGTTTTCATTTCTTTGCTTCCTCTGTGGTCATACACCTATATTGGGTTCCTGTCCCTCAATACTTCAACTTTGTACTTAAATCTACATTGTATCACCCCTCTATGTAATTTCCTTTTAATCCTAAAACCCTCCAAGAATTTTTACTTCAAGCTTGAATTTTTATATAACCCCACTTCTCTGCTTCAGCCATCTGGGATTTAAAGGTGACTAGGGCCTTTAAATCCTCCACCAATGTATGTGTCCACACAACACATGTGCACCATGCACGCATACCTCCTCCTTCCACGGTACTTACATTCTCAACCAATACCTGGTATTTTTTCTTAGAAATCCAAGTATGCCATGTTCACCTGTTTTCTTGGAGTTTGGGAAATCAGTCAAGCAGTATGTTTCCTTTTTGAAACATTTCTAGATTATCATATAAATGTATGTTGTTGATTAATTTCATTATGTTCAGCAATTGGTGCCAGGCTGATGAGTCTGTAGTTCCATAGATTTCATTTATTCCCTTTAATATAGATCAAACAAGCCTGATCCCAATCTGATGACCTGGTTCATAACCTCTACCAAGGAATATACTAGGTCTTTGTTTTAAGCACAACTGAAAAAAAATTAATCAAGAAGTTACTTCAACACAGCATACCAAAAACTGTATGGTAACTAACCAATAAATATTAAATGATTTCCTAGGTACATGACCCTGCACTACAAAATAATTTGAAAATCCCACCCGCTCCTCCTGGAAGAGTTCAGAAGAGTCCTTTACCAGATATGTTTAACAACCCAACTGCTCAACGCATGGCCCCTGTTGAGAGAAACATTGATGGATTAGGTAAGCAAAGGAACTTAGTTATTGTTGTGTAAGTGCAAAGTTTGAGTGCAATCTAGGTAATGTTGCCTGATTAGTTCTTTTATCAATATGTTTATGCAATGTGTATATTTGGGTTTCTAAGAGTGTTGCAAGCAAGGATTTCTGGTTGTACTGCTAGTGAAAGCCATGACAAAATGAAAGAAGGCAAAACTCCATGCACACACACGTTCAATTACGTGTGGAGACCACTATTTATCAGCCTCCAGCTACTATTGAGATTTTTTTTTGTGATTCCAAAAATGTTGATTTTTGGTTTGTAGAATTAGAATGGTCACCAGTCCAATGAGCTTTGTAATAAATTTTGTACAAAGATGTTATTTTAGCCAGTATGAAACAAAGCAAAGTGAGATTATTCCTCGAATGTGACCATTTGTATGAATTCAGTTTTAGTGACAAAAAATACAAAAATTTCTATCCTGCAGTCTCTGGTAAAGGAGTAAGTTAATTCTGTTGAAGATTTGGTTAAAGGGAAGTAGATCAACTCAAATTTTTGTGTTGATTTTTGAAGCAACACACTTAATCTGTAGAAAATGGATGTGAATATAGGAGAAATGGTTAGTACATTTGCAGATGACACCAAATTGGTGGTGTAGTGGACTGTGAAAAACATTATCTGAGTACAAGGGGACCTTGATCAGATGGGCCAATGGGCCAAGGAGTGGCAGATGGAGTTTAATTAGATAAATGTGAGGTATTGTATTTTGGTAAGGCAAATACACTTAATGGTAGGGTCCTGAGAGTGTTGCCAAACACACAGACCTTGGGGTGTAGGTTCATAGTTCATTGAAGGTAGAATTACAGGTCGACAGGGTAGTGAAGAAGGTGTTTGGTACACTTGCCTTTATTGGTCAGTGCATTGGGTATAGGAGTTGGGACATATTGTGACTGGACAGGATATTCGGTCAGGCCAATTTTGGAATCCTGCATTCAAGTCTGGTCTCCCAGCCATAGGAATGATAGTATGAAACTTGAAAGGATTCAGAAAAGATTTACAAAGATATTGCCAAGGTTGGAGGGTGAATAGGCTGGGGCTATTTTCCCTGGAGTATGGAGGCTGAGGGGTGGCCTTAATAGAGAAATATCCAATTGTGAAGGGCATAGGTAAGGTGAATAGCCGAGGTCCTTTTCCCAGGTTAAGGCGAGTCTAAAACTACAGAAAATAGGTTTAAGGTGAGAGGGGAAAGATATAAAAGGGACATAAGGGGCACTTTTTTCTCAGAGGATGGTGCATGTATGGAATGAGCTGCCAGAGGAAGTGGAGGCTGGTACAATTACAAAATTTAAAAGGCATTTGGACGGGTAGAAGAATGGGAAGGGTTCAGAGGAATATGAGCCAAATGCTGGCGAATGGAACTGGATTAATTTAGGATATCTGGTCGGCGTGGATGAGTTGAACCGAAGGGTCTGTTTCCATGTTGGACATCTCTGACTGTCTGACTCTAAAATAAGCATAGAAAATTCTAGATAGCGAAATTATATGTTCAAGAACCATTACTGCAAAATGATAAGAAATAACTTCCTTTGCTGGGTTATGGGTACGTAATTTGGTCTTTCATTTAATACAGCACTTTCTTTCTTCTGAAATGTTCAAAAATGGATTCTAAATATGGTCTACTACAGAATGTTTTCATTTTTAAACTATACTTTCCTGCTTCTATGTTGTTGCCTTTTTAAAAATGCCAGAAATTTATTTGTCTCTGAACTAAAAGGAATAAATTACAGCCTAAATAGAATATGGATAAAGTATGTGTCTTAACTTTCCTGTCTGACATTTAGAGTTTGCTTTTGTCTTTTTGTTGTAGTTGTGGCATTTCTAAATGTTTAAGGTACAGTACAGATGATGTAATCAACTATTAAATATGATTTACACAGAGGATGCCAGTCTAACAAGATCCATTTCCGTTGCAACTGGATTAAATATGGTTCAGAGGCCAAAGGTGAAAAGCATTTTTCCACACACGGCAGGGAATAACAAAAATATGTTGAGCTTCGCAGAAGGTGATGTGCTAACACTACTGATACCAGAGGAAAAAGATGGCTGGCTGTATGGAGAACATGATGCGAACAAAATGTGAGTGCCCCATTTTCTTTGAAACCATTACAAGATTTTAAAAAATTGAACTTGTATTACTTTAAGAACATAAGCAGAGGAGTAGACAAGATGTCTGACATGGCTCTGTTAATAGCATTTTACCTCTGAATCACAAGGTGGTGAGTCCATCTGACTTCGTGATTTGACCACAAAAGTCAGAGTCTAACTCTGGTTCAGTACTAAGTGAGTGAGGGGAAGGGGAGGGGCAGTGGAGAGGAGAGGAGAGGAGAGGAGAGGAGAGGGGAGGGGAGGGGAGAGGAGATGCCATGTTTCAGAAGAGGTCCCACCTAGCATCTTGGATAGACAAAGCACCCCGTTTCTCTATTTTGAAGAGAAACGGAGGGGTTAGCACCAGTGACCTGTCCTGTATTTATCATAAGGACAGATTGCTGGCCATCGTCATATTATGTTCATGACAACTTGTGAGCAAATTGCCTGCCATGTTTCCTGTAATGCAATGATGACTGTACTTTAAAAGTCTGTAATTAAATGCAAAACACTTTGAGATGTCCAGTGGTTGTGAAAAGTGCCATATAAATAAAATCTTTTCATGTTAGATCAGTCAACTCTGTAGGCCTGTACTGCCGTACATTTAGATAATGTTTGTCTGAACCCCATCTACCCACCTCAGCACCTTATCCTTTGACACCTTTACCTGATTTAAAAAAAAATTGACTCACTAAATTATTAGAAAATGTAAATTGCATTATTTACAAAGATAAAAAGATACAACTGTACTTTGAAAACTCTACATGTTTTGTAAACTGCCGTCTTATTCTGCAATACTTTTTTATCTTATGAGCTATTTCTAAAGCTTGTTCTTGAACTTTTTAGCCTAGCTTCATACTCAAGAGCCCCATATCCGAGGGTTCCTAGTAGCTGTTGGCCACTGATATTAGACCTAGTTCAAATTTCCATAACTAACAGGAGATGATCACAATTGTCCAGACACATGAAGAGGCACAATAATTAGGAGTAGAAGTAGGCTTTCTAACCCTCAAACCTGCTTCACCAGTCAACAAAATCATGGCTGATCTGATTGTGGCTTCAACTCCACTTTCCTATCTATTCACCATTACACCCGCAACTTCCTTGTTGGTCAAACCACTAGTACAAGAAGTCCAAAACAAAAACAAATTGCTGGAAAATCTCAACAGGTCTGGCAACATCTGTGGAGAGAAATCAGTTAATGTTTCTGGTCCAGTGAAGAAGTCCAACCTTGTTTTCCCCAAATATTTGCACAGCAAAAACCTGCACTTGCATTAATGTAGTATCTTTCAAAGCTCCATGGTCCAAAATGTTTTAGTATTTTTGAGCTGTGGTCCCTGTTGTAAATGTAGGAAACAAAGTTCAGAAAAAATCACAATGGCAATGAAATATTGACCAGATAATCTGTTTCTTTGGTATAAGGCAGAACATCAATTTTTTAAGGTATTTTCAATAACTTGAGAGACAGTTGCTTCAATATTTTCAACAAACTTTCAGGGCAGAATTAGAGCTGACTTTATTCACATCCTTGGGTGCATATGTAGTTTGTATTATAATGAGGGTCACTGATCTTGTAGCTTCTGGTTTCCTGTTTTCATATTCACAACTGTTTGGGTTAACTTGGGCTGAAATTTAAAGGTACACCACTTGCCAGGATCAGCTGTGTAGACTTGTGATTCCTACACATTAAGAAGAATATTTTGCTGTGATTCCGATTTGGCTTCACAGATCTGTACTGACGTCATACTACTTGTAACAGATCCTACCTGTCCAACATGAGGGCAGCTTAGCATGATATTTCACATGGAGCAGCAGAAGCATGATGAGACAGAATAATTTAATGACCCATCAGATATTACTCCAATAGAGTAAATGTAATGGTATTAGTAAAAGGGATAGCAAGCGCACGCTTCGCCAAAGAAGCAATTGGGCAAAACTGCCTTTTACTGCATTAGAATCTGCAGCCACACACCTCTGCTTACAGATCTGTCTTAGTGATTGTGAAGGTGACCATTGCATTCAGTAATTAAACAAGTTTATTCATAAAGAATCCATTGTGGATCTTGGGAATCAGTCGAGATGCATTTGGGATCATCTTTCAGGATCAGACTCCATTATGATGTCTCCATGATGAGAGAACTTGCCAGCTGTACCTTGTCCAAACTCTTTCACCTCACTGAGCCTGCAATAGTTGAAGTTCTACCTAGCCACTTGTGAAGAAACCCAGAGGCCCAGAAATGTCCAGAGATAATAAACTGGTTTTTTAAGACTTCTCTGCAGGGAGTGCAAAGCCAGCATTTCAAAGATAATTTACTGATATTGATTCCACTGAAAGTTTTGAAGGGTTTGCAGTCTGAAATTACTGACCTAGACACACCTTAAATTCTAAGGGAAAAAAAAGGGAACAAGTAGAAGGTTTGCCCTCTGCCACTCTATTCCACTCTAAATGCAATTTAGAACAGAGTGGAAAGAAACAAAAAGTGGGTGGTGCCAAGTTATGCCTCAAATTTCTGTTAGTACCCCTAGAATTTTGGTCAAAATATGTCTTAGTTACAACTGAAAGTAAAATTCAGAACTGCATAAATCTTCATTCTGCATTAATTTGATTTTGCACTTATCTGCTGTTTTTTTAATAGTAAAGCTGCATTAGTAAGGTTACCAAAGTATCCACAGACTATAAAAATAAGAGCAGAATTTTCCCAATACATGGTCATTCAACAAAGTGTCCCTGAAACAAGGTTTCAAAAAACTCTGCAAAGCTCTCATTGCAGAGTTTATTGTTCGACAATTATGTTCTGTTCAGGCTTAATTGATCAGTAATGATGTACCACAATCAAACATGAACAGGAAGTGTAATAAATAATATACTACTTCTCATGCTTAATATATGTGAGTAAACATAATTTATAATACATGAGGTCTACCAAACTTATTTTAAATGCATAACCTTCTACCCTTGAGGCTTTATCAAGAATAATTTGCTTACACCATTTTATGTACAGTCTGTTGTTTTTTATGCTGTTTTATCGACAGTATTTGACTGTGCTCTTGTGTAGAATGTCAAGATTTTGTAAACTTTTTAAAAATTTTCAGACCAGTACTAATCCTGTCTTCATGGTACTATTTACAAAATAGGCTACTAAAAGGTTTTTTTGTTTATTCATTCTTTGAATATTGGTTTAGTTGCCAAGGCTGGCAATTATTACCCATCTCTAGTGCCCTTAGGACTACGTAGTACGTTGCCGCCTTAAACCACGAACAATCCATTTGATGAAGGTACTCCCATAGTGCTGTTGGTTAGGGAGGATTTCACCTCGCAAAAACAATTAATCTATTTCCTTCATGCAGATCCAGAGATCACTTATTACAGAAAACTGTACTACTTATGAACAAAAAACTTTGACACTGATCAGATGAACATAATGTTAAAGATCAGTACCTTATTCCTACTTTAACTTGTTAAATATTATTGTATTTTGGATTTGTGTTTTTGTATATGTGCAATCCCTATTGGGTCAGCTGAATTGATGGTACAAGGAAAATGCAGATTGAATTTTTCATAAAGCACTATTCAAAATCACATTTTAGGATATTGCAGGTGTTTGAATATAGTGCCGTCAAACTAATGTGCCGGATACCGAATATAATCTTTGTATTTTACATTGTTTTTAAAAATGGCATTCAATGACTTGCTGAATGGTAAATTAGCCTTTAAGTTTTAGATAGCATCAAGCCAAACAGCTGTTTAGTTATGGTTTCTAAAGTTATTTAAATTTCACTATTGGATTGTTAATTTGCAATTCACTGACCACCGTTCAGTATGCTCTGTTGCCTTCTTTTGCATTAATCTTATTTATTCTAAATGATTGCATTTATGTTCTGAATTGACTATGTCTTTGTGTGTCAGGGTGGGGAATGTAATTTTCAACCCTGAAACTGGACACCGCACCACTACCACTAATTTCTTGTTTTAACAAAGACCATTTGGGGTACAAAAGTAACTCAGTCACTTAAGTCAGTTACATAGAAACATAGAAAATACGAGCACAAGTAAGCAGAAATCAGGCCTTCAAGCCTGCTCCACCATTCAATAAGATCATGGCTAATCATCCAACACCTTATCCTGTTCTACTTTCTTCCTTTACTCTTTTGCGTTAGCCCCTAGAACCACATCTAACTCCTTTAAGCATGCAACGTTTTGGCCTCAACTGCTTTCTGTGGTAGAAAATTCCACAGGGTCCACACTCTGGGTGAAGAAATTTCTCCTTGACTCAGTCCTAAATGACCTACCAAATATCTTAAACTGTGACCCCAGGTTCTGAACTCTTTGGTCATTGAGAATATCCTTCCTGCCTAGCGCTGTGAGAATTTTATAGTTTTCTGAGATCCCCTCTCATTCTTCTAAACTCCTGTAAATATCGTCCTAACAGAACTAGTTTCTCACCATGTATCAGTCCAATAAACCTTTATTGCACTCCCTTCATAGCGAGAACATCTTTCTTCAGTTAAGGAGACCAAAACTGGACACAGTACTCCAGGGATAGTAGGAACTGCAGATGCTGGAGAATCTGAGATAACCAGGTGTAGAGCTGGATGAACACAGCAGGCTAAGCAATTTCTGAAGAAGGTTCTAGGCCCGAAACGTCAGCCTTGCTGCTTGGCCTGCTGTGTTCATCCAGCTCTACACCTTGTTATCACAGGTATGGTCTCACCAAAGCTCTGTACAACATCAGCAAGCCAGCCCTGCCCCTGTACTCAAATCCTCTGAAGGCCAAAGTATCATTTGCTGCCTTCACCACCTGCACCAGCATGCTTACTTTCAATGACCTGGCTTACACGGACACCCAGGCCTCATGTTTCCCCCCTTTCCCAATCTATTATTATTCAGGTAATCTGCCTTCCTGTCTTTGCTACCAAAGTAGGTAACCTCACATTTATCCACATTATAATTCATCTGCCATGCATTTGTTGATTCACTCATCTTGTCCAAATTATACTGAAGCATCCCTGTATCCTCCTTGCAACTCACTCAGCTTTGTATTATCTGCAAGCTTGGAGATATTAAATTTAATGCCCCTGTCAAAATCATGAAAATATATTGTGAATCGCTGGGTTCCAAGCACCGATCCGTGCAGTACTCACCAGTCACGGCCTGCTACTCTGCAAAAGACCTGTGTTTTATACCATTTGTTTTGTGCTGCCAGCTACTTCTCTATCCTGTCAATGCATTATCCCCAATCCCAATGCACTTTTATTTTACATGCTAATCTCTTAGTTGGGACCTTATCAAAAGCCAAATAAACCACATCCACTGGGTCCCCCTCATCAACTCTACAAGTTAAATCCTAGAAAAATTCCAGAAGGTTTGTCCAGCATGATTTCCTTTTCGTAAATCCATGCTGGCACTTTGCAATCCTGTCATTGTTTTCCAAGTGCTCTGATATTAATCTTTTACCCTGGACTGTAGCATTTTCCTCACTACAGATGTCAGGCTACGTTCCATCATATTACTATTGTAAGGAGGCTGTGTGCTTCAAATGGCAGCACAGTTTTAAATGACTGCCAGCCATTTTCCCAGAACTCGGAAACAGGCAAGCTAAGGGGAGGCAGGTCAAGTCCCATTAGCACAATTTGTCTGGTACCACCACCACCTTGGAATTTGTCCCCCAACCCCACCACCATGATGACTTTCCCTGTGATGTCCTCCCCAGTGTATATCTTCTTGACCCCAAAGTTGTGTTTGTATTTTATAGGATCCCATGTTACCTGTATTTCAGTTTTCCAGCCACTATGGCTCCATTCCTTCTTCATCTCCCCATAAGTATTATGGCCTTGCTTTCCAATTGTGAAGTATAAAATAACCCAGTATTCTCTTGACCATCAGGGACCACTAGAACATGAACTGAGTTATCATTATAAATAGAAATATTTACTGGAGTTGCTCGCAACCACCGAGATGATTGTGACATCTGTACCTGAATGGACAGTGTTATTGCAACTTAGCAATACTCCATGAATGGAAGTGGATAGGCGAGAAAGCTTGTAAACCATCTCTAAATCCATGGCTTATTTAAAATAGGGCAGACCAGGCCTGATCCGAGTATATTGGAACTTAAAGGAGTTTTTTTAACTTGCGAGATTTAGAGAGCAGCTTTGCTTTGAAATGCTGTATCATGCATTTAAATGACAACATTGCCATTGTCAAATGGCGAATAATGTCAAGTTCCTCTAGAGACATTTTTAAACTGTACAGTGTAATGTCAAACATGTCAGTAACACTGCAGAATATGAATGTTGTATTTCTCTTATTTTTATTTCTGCTTCCTATACAGGAGAGGTTGGTTTCCAACATCTTACACTAGGCCATTGGAACAAGGTCCAGACATGTCATCTGCACCCAGGTAATGTATCTTTCAGCAACTGCAGTATTAAAGGGGGTGGGTTAGCCAGTTGGTAGATGGCTGATTTGTTCCTCGAACTTGTGTTGTGCTTCGTTGAAACATTGCAGCAGACCCAAGACAGAAATGTTAGCATGAGAGCAAGATGGTTTATTGAAATGGCAAGCAGCTGGAAGATCGAGGTCATTCTTGCAGACAAAGCAGAGGTGTTCTGCAAAGTAGTC